GAGAGAGAGAGAGAGAGAGAGAGCACGATTTACTTCGTGGTAACGTTGCCACTCTCGCGCACTTATCACAGACAATCGACGACGGGCGTTCGTTATGCCCTCGCCATGCTCGCGGAGTCTTGGTCGGGTTTGGTGGGTAGCGGCCTGTTGGCCATTTTGCCCGCCGGAGTCGACGTTTGAGGTTCTGGTAGTTCCGAGTACAGGTGGGCAGTCGCGTCGGAAGGCTCCGCGTACTCGCAGAGCAACGAGTTCGGCCTTTTCTTGTTGTTCGGCTTCGAACCGCCGAGAATACTCTCGCCGAGAGCCTTTAGGAAACTCATCGGTCTGCCGGGATTTCTGGAGGCTTCGAACTTTGGGCTGTCCGGAGGCCGGTGGTTCTCAGTCTTCGGATTACTGAACATCTGATTCGAGTGGTCGTTGATCAGCAGGTGGTCGTTCACGACGTCCGGTGGCAGTGGTTGCGGCGCTCTTCCAGCCAAGGTCGCCAAGATCGGTTGAGACAGTCGACTGGTACTGGGAACGGTCTCGTCGCCAGGTAGCTCAGCGTACAGATGATTCTGCTCGCTTGGCTTTTGATCGCGAGGCTGCGTATACTCCGTCAGGGGTGGTCTTGGTTGTATCGCGCTCGGCAATAGTTTCTCCAACGACGGTGCTTTCGTACCAACGCTGACGGATGGCTTTGGCGCACCTCTGAGTCTCCTCTGCCTCGGTTGAATCACGTCGTACGCGTTCTCCTCCCTGCCCGATGGTTGCCTGTCGTTGTTGTTGTTACAGCTCTCCTCCACCTTGATCAGATCGTACAGATGCTCGATCATGTCCCTCGCTTGATTGTAGTTGTCAGGATCGTTCAGTCTCTCTCGCAGGTCCCTCAGGTACTCTTCCGTCAACTCCTCGGGCAACGTTTGCGTGGCCTTGTTCTCGGTGTAAGGATACAACCCTTCGGCATCTTCTTCGTAGTCTTCCGTCGCCTCCGCCTGAGTTTCCACCTCCAGGATCCGCGTCTCTGGTTGAAGTCCCGCATACTCGTGCACGCTCAACCTGGATATCGATCTGGCAGACGTGGCAGCAGTCATTCCGCTACTGGGTGACAGCCAGCTGGCGAGATTCATCAGGTGACCGGACGTTAACTTCGGGCAGACGCCGCTTCGACGCATGTATAGAATCCCAGAGGCGAGGATCACCACTAGCACGACGAACACTGCCACCACACAGATCACTACGATGATTCTCTTCTCGCGTTGCAATTGCTCCGAGTCGCTCATCTCCACGTCGAAGTAACCCTTGTGCCTTGGATAGACATGCGGACCGACGCTCGGTGGACTGACGCTTGGCTCCGGCTTGGCAGATGGCTTTTCGCAGACGATGTGACTGCCAGGTCCGCAGATGATCTTCGTGAAATTCCTCATGGACATGTAGCCTTGCGGAAGGTTGAAGCACCTGTCGAGAAGCTGGTCGACCACGCAGTAACTCGAATCCATCATCCACGAAACGGAGCTGTTCTTCCCCGTCACTTCTCGTATCCAACCGTCCAGGCCGCATCTACACTTCTCCTTGAAGTAATTATTGCCAACCCTGGCGGTGTTCACTCGCTGCGAGATCGCGGCGAATTTCAGCGAGCCAGGCCTCGCCTTCTCTATGTGATTCCCTGTGAACGAGAACTCGAAATTCGGCGCCGACGTGGCGTCCACTTCCGCGCTGATCGCGTCCGTCTCCAAATCGACGAACAGATTGTAGTCGATGGCTATGTGGTTCCATTGGTGCAGGACGATCGCGCCTTGGTGCAGGTTCAAGAACTCGTTGTTATTGAAGCTGACCGTCGCGGCGGATATGTCGATGGCGCCGGTCTCCACTTCGGAGAGCCTGTGAACGCGAGAGGGGGGGAAAAAAACTTCGTTTTGAACTTTGCATGTTACAGAAACTTTCTTCAATCGGAGGAAAGTTTGAGTGTCAAGCTTTCAACCGCGACCGGAATTGCGTGTTCTCGCAAGCGGATCATCTCAGCATTCAGTTACGGATATTTAACCCTGTCAAGTCTGCTAGAATGTCAAAGAATTTTTGAGAA